GATAGCCCTAATAAGATGGCTATGAGAATGTGCAATTAGTTTTTTGATTTTCTAAAATGTAACGTCAGGAAAAAATAAAATTGATTTGCAAAAAAATCCGTTTTTTCCCAAAAACTTAGCAATCCTTGAAATTTTTAAAACTTTTTTGGTGGCATCTTGGTGAACATCCCAAGGAGGGGGGGGGGGCAACTTTCCCTCAATTTAACCATCTTCGTATCTATTACGGTTTCCAAGATATTGTCACGGCCCATTTTGTGGGTTATGACTAGGGACATAGCGGAATAAAACAGATGATTCAATTTCATAATTAATTTAATTAATTTACGAATAATGAAATAATTATAAAACTAAATATGTACTTACATATTATATTTATGGACGAACATCATCACTGGCTCGAGGGTAGTGTCAGGGTAGTGTAACGTCAATGCTGGAATCTCGACCGCGACCTTATCGAACATCAATTCTCGACTATCGACTGTCCCCCCAACAGGTGACATTTTTGTATTTATTGGTTCGTTCGTCGAATCATCGAATCAGCATTATTGGTCTATCGGTGCGATGACCGGTGCGATGACCGCGTTAGTGCTGATTTGACGATTTTATAAATTCGTAATATTGAAAGGAAATATTTTCGCAATTGCCAATTATGCTTATAACTTTGATTTTTAAAACTTTACTTTTGTTGCGTAAATGCTAATGAACTTTATTTATCTTATATTTCCTTTCAATCGAATTATTAATTTACGAAATATATTAATATTAAATATGTTATTTTATATATCGAATAATTCCATCCTTGACACTTCCCCCGCACCTCTAAAGCTGGACCCCAACGATAATTCAATATTTATGAAATTATACTTTTTAACAATAATTATTATACATTGCAATAAATTGTGCTTAATAATTAACGTTTCATAATAAAAAATGTTTTAAGTATACAATATTAAATAAAATAAAAAAAATGTTTTTAAAGAAATTACTGACTAAAAAAAATATAAAAAAAGCTTCTCTATAAGTTTAACGATGGCGATTAGCCGTTTACATATAGACAATAAAAAAAATGTCTTTTAATACTGGCACTAACGTGAACTGCACAATACCTATATAGTTTTTAAGTTTCAACACATTGCACTGACTTCGTTCATACAACACCAACCCACAAATCTCGTCGGCTGCTCATGGAGGCTGAAAACTGAAGTTTTGATTGTAGTATCCACCTTCACATCATAAACCTAACGAATGCACACATGCCTCCCGTTCCCTGCACTTTGAAAAGCTCTTTGTTTTGGTAAGCTGTTTCTCAATTCTTGCGTCCTTAGGGAGTTGTTGGTTGACATCGGTGTAGGCTGATAATGGAAACAAAATTCCAGTATGATTTTGTTTGTCATCTGGATTGGCGTCGAACTCATCTTTCGAAGAAGAGACCAGTTTTTAAAGACAATAAGTCTTCCTGTAGCTGCTTATATCACCAACCCAAATATCGACAGCACGTTCTGAACCCATTTTTGAATTGGACTACTTGCTTCGAACTGCATTACCATAGTGTACTGTTCACAAAGCTTCATAAACAAGGGTAGGCAGTTTGCATAGTATAGGCATGATGGTTGTGGTACTACATTCTTCTTTCTCCTTCGGGGTTGAGTCTATACGTCGATTCTTCTCAGTGGTGTTCCTTGATTTGTTGCTTGGTATTGGCAGTTTTGACCAGTGATTACATGAAAAAAGAGAACAAAGAGTAAATATGTGCTCTTACTTACAGCTTATTGTATTAAATTATTATGACTTATAAACTAGTTCTTAAAGTATATCAAACTTAATCCTATTTTGTTTGTTTGTTTAATTTCATTTTTCAACTTAGTTCAGAATATCATTTTTGTTTGTTCTTGACGGCAGGAGAGAATATATATATATATATATATATATATATATATATATATATATATATATATATATATATATATATATATATATATATATATATATATATATATATATATATATATATATATATATATATATATATATTTTTTTTTTTTTTATTCATTCGTTAAGAATGTCACGGCTTCATTGTGTTGTTTGCCGGTTGATGATGTTTTTTTTTGCAGGTTCGGGTCTCAACCAGAGGCCTAAGAACTCCGCAAGTGTTTGCGTAATATTTGCGCTGTCCCAAAGATCGCTGTTTTCTGGAGCTGGGCGGTGCTTAACTCCATGATCTCGAGGTCAATAAGGTGTTTCCCCAAATTCGACGTGATGGCTCCCATGGCTCCTATGACAATTGGGATGACTGAGAATGGTTTTCTCCATAGGCGGGTCATTTCTCTTCCTAGCTCCTGGTATTTATTGATTTTTTCGATCTCCTTATCTCTCACTCGGGGGTCTCCAGGGATGGCTATGTCTATTATATTGATGGTTTCTTGGGTTATCACCACGATGTCCGGCGTATTGTGTTCAATTCGTCTGTCAGTCTGGATTCGGAAGTCCCAAAGTATTTTTCCCCTATCGTTTTCAACCACCTTTCCTGGGTAGTGGTTGTACCAGTTTTTCTTTACTGGGGCGCCGATATTTTTGCAGATGTTTCAATGGATCATGCTGGCTACGTTATCGTGTCGTTTCTTATATTCCGTTTGTGCGATCTTACTGCATCCTGACACTAGGTGGTCAATGGTCTCATCTTTATCTCTACAGAGTCTACATTTTGGATCATCTGTCGTTTTGTGTCTCTGTATTTAATTGCATTTGTTGTGAAGGCTTGATCTTGTGCTGCAAAGATGGCTGCTTCTATTTCTTTACGGGTTGTCCCATTCGATATCCATTGGTATGATTTTTTATCATCTGCGTTTTCTTTAATATTTCTTGCGTAACTACCGTGGAGGGGGTTTATTATTCCAGTTTGCTATTCTAGCTGATATAATCTTTTGTTTGTATATTTTCTTGTTGTCCTCTTTTACATTTAAGATATTTTCTTTTTAATATCTCACGGATTAGTTTCTCACGACTTGTTTTGAGATATTGGCTTAGGCTTATTTTCTCCTCCTCCACAGTTTGTAACACTTGGACAAGTCCTCTTCCTCCTATTCGTCGCGAAATGTAAAGCCTGTCGATATCACTTTGGGATGCAATGCTTGGTGCATTGTCATGATTTTTCTTGTTCTTTTATCAAGTTCTTCAAGTTCTGCTTGTGTCCAATTTATTATTCCTGCAGTGTATCTTATGACCGGAACTGCCCAAGTGTTTATGGCTTTGATACTATTTCCTCCATTCAATTTGGTTTTTAATATTTTTCTAACCCTTTTCAGATATTCTTGGCGACTCGATGCTTTCGAGTCGAGTTTCGAGATATATATATATATATATATATATATATATATATATATATATATATATATATATATATATATATATATATATATATATATATATATATATATATATATATATATATTTTATATATGATTGGGCGTAAAACAAACAATAAACTTATATTTTCGTTGCAAATTTGTAGGATTTATGAACACTCCTACCTAATTTGTATGCCCTCTATCTCCTACCTACATTTGGGTTTATAATAATTTACTTTATTTCTTTTTTTTTATATATATATTAAGCGCTAAATAATTAGCTCTAGTGGTTCAATACTTTTCGTTTCAAGTTGGTATTTGTCCTAGAGTTTGCGCGCAGTTAGGGTTAAATATCAATTTAAAACCTACACACTAGGGGAGCTCCAATAATACATGTCATTAATAAAGACATCATTAATATTTTATATTAAGAAAAACATATCTTTTTTCCAATTATTTCAATATTCCATCTTGATTTTATTTTGAAGAAGGCTAACTTGGGCATACAGAGTTGCCTTTACAATACACGTATACACAATACTTATTCTATTTGTATGCATTTATTTTATCCCCCGGCGCCTCCACCACATATATCACGGCCCATTTTGTGGGTTATGACTAGGGGCATAGCGGAATAAAACAATTAAATTAATTATTAAATTGAATCATCTGTTTAAATCATCTGTCTAAATCATCTGTCTAAATCATCATCTGTCAAATTAATTAAATTAATTATTAAATTGAGTCATCTAATTTACGAATAATGAAATAATTATAAAACTAAATATGTACTTACATATTATATTTATGGACGAACATCATCACTGGCTCGAGGGTAGTGTCAGGGTAGTGTAACGTCAATGCTGGAATCTCGACCGCGACCTTATCGAACATCAATTCTCGACTATCGACTGTCCCCCCAACAGGTGACATTTTTGTATTTATTGGTTCGTTCGTCGAATCATCGAATCAGCATTATTGGTCTATCGGTGCGATGACCGCGTTAGTGCTGATTTGATGATTTTATAAATTCGTAATATTGAATGGAAATATTTTCGCAATTGCCAATTATGCTTATAACTTTGATTTTTAAAACTTTACTTTTGTTGCGTAAATGCCAATGAACTTTAATAATTATTTTATATTTCCTTTCAATCGAATTATTAATTTACGAAATATATTAATATTAAATATGTTATTTTATATATCGAATAATTCCATCCTTGACAATATCAATGCTCGTACCTCCAATTTGTAGCACCCTGTATATGGCGTTCCATTTGGTTTGGTTTGATTAGGTGGTTAGGTAACTTTTTTTAGGGACACCCTGTATAAATCTATATGTATATTTTTATAAAATGCTTTCAGTTAACCTACTTTATGCTCTCAACATTTAATTTCAATATAAACTACCGTTCTCCTTGGAACCCCCGCGTCGCGCGTCGTGTATGCCACCCTGTATATAATATGTTTACCTGAAAGGAGCTCTTCCGTTATCATGTTTAAGTTTCGTTTAGAATACAATGAAAAAAGATTAGCAACATATTTGCAACTATTTCTTTGTAAGCCTTTTTATAAACTCTGTTTAGATCTTGTTTAGATGATAAACCTAGGAGAGTTCAATGCTCGCATGGACAATAATCGTTCTCTTTATAGATTTATTACGATTCACTCGACAAAGCCACAGATGCAATTAAACATGGCAAATTAACTGGTGTTCTATATATAGCAGACAACTTTACACAGTCATACGAAGATAGGGTGAGTAAATAAAACTTTATAAAGCTAACAACAAAAAATTATTTTCCAAAATTAATATAAAAACATTTTGTCAATATTATTTCAATCACAAGCAATAATTAGAAATAACCTCTATTATAAATGCTTTAGAAGCTATTTCAAAATACAGGCAGTCCTCGATTTACGTCGTTTAGTGTTACGTTGCGCGTCGTTTCGAGTTACGTCGAACAAATTTTTGTCACTATTTCTCAAAGTTACATCCCACTGATTCGAGTTACGTCATTTTTTGTAAAGAACGATCCAAATTTTAAAAGAAGTTTGGACATAAACAATAAAATTTTAGCAACATACAAGCAGGGTTGACAGATCCACATAATGAAAAAGCGGGACAGTGTTGATCATTACTTAATTAGCAACTATTACGACTTTTGACGATACCCACAATCACAGAATATCTAGCTACGCAACAGAAAAATACTCGAAATGAAAGAGCTAAAATTGCACAAATAGAATACTAGATGGCGCGACAATGTCATAATCAGAATATAATGTTACGTTTTTCGTCGGTTCCGTGTGGATAGAAAGTCACAATTTATTTAAACACTATTTATTTAACACTAATTAACAGAAATAATAACGATAAAAGACTTATAGAACTATTTACAAACGATTTATAACTAAGAATTTATTTTGAATTTTCGCGCGTCAACTGCACTGGTATAAAGTCCCTAGATATATAAAGTACCGCAATTACCGCCATATTGGCGCCAAAACTAGCGGCAAATTTAAAAAGGAGGCCAACATTTCGCTGTTTCGGCTTTTTAAGCAGCTGGCAGCTGGTCGGTCCGGCGCCAATATGGCCGACCAACATTGACAGGCAAACCGTAAAATAAAATATTTATTAATTGTAATAGAATTACGTTTATTATCTACAGTTTACCTTCATTTTAACGTAATATCAGGTGGTATATTAATATTCAATTTCATAAAACAACGGCAAACAAAACAGAAATAATTTTCTCTTGTCAAAGTCAGAATCTTCAAAAATCATAATAATCTTTCAAAATCTAAACCGCTCTCATTAAAGAAATTCCGAAAAGCGTTTATAGTGTCTATTTTCAAAGTAATAATTGCTATCTTGTGAGTTTAATTCAAGTTTTATTTACTCCAACCGGTGATAATTGTAAAAAAGTGGCATTAAAAACTTAAAAAGCTGTGCTGTAAACTGTGAACTGCAAAAACCATCGTGGATCGTGGCATAACGTCGGTTTCCAATGTTTCATAGGTATTTCATACATGCGTCCTTATATAAAATAAAGTTTCTTGTATGCAACACACTGTCTTTTATTTATAAAATTAAACGAAAATAATAATAAATTTGAATAAACAATATTTGGCGATATAATTCCGGAAAAAGCCGAACCGCTCCGAAATTTTCAAAAGTTTTGGGTCGCGACCGTTGCTAGATTAGCGCCAAATAGTGTTTACATTGTCCTTATGGGCACTTTCCAATCTAAACTTGTTTCGTTTATCTATGGCCAATATGGCCGACCAACATTGACAGGCAAACCGTAAAATAAAATATTTATTAATTGTAATAGAATTACGTTTATTATCTACAGTTTACCTTCATTTTAACGTAATATCAGGTGGTGTTATATGTGGTTGGTGTTATATTCAATTTCATAAATTTAATTTTTTATTCTATATATGTTAAGAGATTATAAACGAATGGTTTCCGTACAAGTGTTTTTCATTTGTATTAGCATTTATTTTATGTTACCTTTTAGCGCAAAGTACGCCAACAGAAGTAAGTTAATAGGTAAGAAGAAATAAAGGTGGAATAACATTTAGAATTTTAGTACTTAATTCAGTCAAACAATTGGAAAAACTTTGTTTGTTGATAAGAACGGGCTACCTATACCATAAGTAAACCTTTCCTATTATACCAGTTATGCTGTAGTTAGTTTTGACAAATAAGCATGATGTAACGAAAGTCTTTGGAACTATGAATAAGCTACAAACTTAAATTTGAAGGCCGGCTTTTATATGAGAAAATTTTGAACCATGGTTGAAACAAATAAATGTAATAATTAAATTGATATGATACATACCTGCTATTTTTGAAATATATTAATATATTGATAGAAAGATTGTTTCAGTTAGTATGACTTCAGGTAGTTTCAGCATTTTAGGTATGTAATTGTGCACTTATTTTATAAATAACTTAGAAAGAAGCTTGAAACACATAGGGGCTCTTTATGTGTGCTGTATAATTAAGGTTTGTATGTTATGGAGTCATGTTTATACAACAAATTTATTATTAGTTGAATAAAAGCAAGTTAATACCACATAATTCAATTAAAATATATTTTGCTCTGCAATTTAATGTTATATTTTTAAAACAACAAGTGTCATAGTCATAATGTTTAAGTATCATTATTATAAAAAAGTTATACTGCTATAAATTTAACATTGAAATAACTGTAATTATTGTTATACATAAATTAAGTAGGCATAATTTTACCTCGACAATATGTAAAACTTCAAACGAATCTTAACAATTTTATGCCATGTATAAAAATCAAATTTAAATCACACACTTTTATTTATAACTGACAGTATAAGACCAAATTTTTAAATATAACTTTACATGCTTACATTATATTCTTTACTTTTTATTAGTAATTACAATATGAACCAAAAAATATTAATTACTATCAATAAATACATAAAAACTAATCTATTTAAGTCCATGAAAATAACTATATAGTTAGCATATGCATAAACAACATTCTTGTTATTAGGATCAAATTTATTTGAGCTTTTTTTCATTGTTTTGGTTAATATCCCTGTTAGTCCTGACTGGTAAAACCACCTGAAGCGAGTCATCCAAATCTATATATGTATCATAACATAACTTATTCTTTTAAATAATTATCCTTCGTTTGGTCTGATGATAATATATTGTAGATTTATCTAAACTTCTTGCTGCAAAATGTTGAAAACTAAACTACACTAAACATTTTAGGGAATGATTACGTAGAGATTTCACTTACACTTAGCATCCTTTTTAAAAGATATGTATGGTAGTTTGCAAGTAAGGTCTTTGTTTTGTTCTAGATTAGATTTCTAGAGGTTGATCTCGGCCTGACCCACTGCGACCTTCTCAGATCTATTGTGGTCTTGTCTTGTTCTATAATGAAGTTTTATGTACCAATAGGTTATACTACAAATAAGATTGTTAAAAATATTCACTGGAGCATAAATAAATTCAATCCACTACCTAACGTATATTGAATATCGACGATGTTAGAAAACACATCAAATTTTTCGTGTAATACACATTTCTTCACTAAAGATATCGACGCCTATACATTATTAACTAATAAATTTGTAGCATTTTAGTGGCTTTATAATTATTTTAAAATATGTGGATAAATATTTTTATCCTGAAATTGACAGCTTCTCAACATTTGACATGACAAATTCAGCCAAATGTGACATTTAAACAGTCCTACCACTACAGTTTTTCCAGAAATACCCCAAAAATCCGCCATTTTGGCGCCAATAACATTGAACAAACCAATTGCGGTACTTTATATATCTAGGGACTTTACACTGGTATATTTATAACTGCCCCCTGTAGGCCACGGCCGCCGGCTTTTATACCGGCAGGTAAAGAACTCTAGAATTGTCCATAGATCGTTAGGTGCGTAGAGAAGGTTTTCGAATGTTCTCGTATGTACTCGTCCATTCCAGTGGGACTCGATTCTTCTCGAACGAATGAATCATTGCGGTGTCTATGCGATGTTAAGGTCATCCGAGGCGGGCCATATTGTGAGGTTAGGTCGAGTCCACACCGGCCCGCAACACTGCCCCCTTCTTAGGTACATGCTCGTCCCGAGATGTATACGGTGAATGAAGGTATTTGCAAAGCTGGCCCCTGGTACATTGCGAAGTCTGGTAGAAATAGCAGTCTACAGTTTTCTCTCCCGATCTCAGCTTTGGGTTGTAGCAGCAAACGAGGATCTCGATTCCCGTAAATCTGAACAAGACTTCAATCATGTTCCGGATTGTACGCCAACTCAAACCATCGAGTCCACACGCCAGCTTCGGAATGGCTAATCGTGCAATGTTGTTGTTTAGCAGGGCTTCTCTCAGTTCAATCAGGGTCTTCCATAGATTGAGATAAGTCGGCTTACTCGGGGACCATTCCTTGGTGACCAGGTAGAAGATGTGCCTTGCTTGACCATGTGCATTGTCGGTTAGCCTCAAGACGCTTCCAACCTCTGGATCCTGTCGGCGTAGTTCTCCGACACGCCCAAACTTCTCATTGAACGTCGCAGCGATTCCTCTGGACATCCGCAAATCTCGAGCCACACAATGAGCGAGCGAATAATCAGGAGGCACGGAAAAGAGGTCTCGTTGATCTTCTTTGGTTACACCATAGCGAGCCTTCTCACTGCTGTTGTATCGGGCCATGAAATCGTCAAAGGACATCTCCGAATCAGGGGGATCAAAGCTGCAGGTTCTCACGGTCCCAGCACGATCTTCTATTTCGCCTTGGTAGGGGCTCAAACGGTTGAAATGGACTACCCTCGGTTTTCCTTTTGGCAATTTTCTGATACGGTATACGACGTCATTAATTCTATCCATGACTTCGTATGGCCCTTCCCACGAGGATTGTAGCTTCGGAGATAACCCACGACGTCTCTGCGGGTTATATAGCCACACCAACTTCCCTGGTTGGTATCCTCCATGCTCAGCTTGAATGTCGTAGTGTTCCTTCATTCGGTCACTAGCACTTTGAATATTTAGGCGGACTCTCTGATGAATGTCGTCCATCCTTTGACGTAGTGTGTGGACATAATCTTCTCCGGCGACTTCTTCTCCCGGTCGGCAACCAAATTTCAGATCACAGGGTAGGCGCACTTCCCGTCCCATAACGATGCTGGCTGGAGTTTGCCCTGTAGATTCTTGGACGGATGAACGGTAGGCCAACAGGAACAGGTGAAGAA